GCCATTTTTTGGTTGCAGCCATCATTGTTGTCTGGCAGGCCCGGGCTGGGGACTCGAACCCGCCACCTCAGGTGTATGTGGCTGGTGCCCTAGCCGCTTGAGCCACAGGCGCCGAGCCAATTTTACATTACTATTAGCAATGTATGAGAGTTCTGGTTTCTCTACATACTTAATAATACATGATATTTTCCTTTTTAAAAAAAAATTACAGATATCTTGGCAGATGTAAAGTATTATACTATCTCATTATGGTTTTGATTTGCATTTCTCCAAATAGCTAATGATGTTGAGCATTTTTTTATGTTCTTGCTCTTAATGGCCATTTCATATCTTCTTTGAAAAAGTGTCTATTAAGATCCTTTGTCCATTTTTTTTTTTTTAAAGAGACAGAGTCTCACTTTAGCACCCTTAGTAGAGTGTTGTGGCATCACAAGGCTCACAGCAACCTCCAACTCCTGGGCTTAGGCGATTCTCTTGCCTCAGCCTCCCAGGCGGGCACCTGGGACTACAGGTGCCTGCCACAACGCCCAGATGTTTTTTTTGTTGTTGTTGTTGCAGTTTGGCCGGGCCGGGTTTGAACCCGCCACCCTCAGTATATGGGGCCGTTGCCCTACTCAATGAACCGGCACCATCCCCTTTGCCCATTTTTAAATTAGATTATTTGTCCTTTTTATTTTATTTTATTTTATTTATTTAAAGACAGAGTCTCATGATGTTGCCCTTGGTAGAGTGCTATTGTGTAATAGCTCACAGCAACCTCAAACTCTTGGGCTTAAGAGGTTCTCTTGTCTCAGCCTCCCACATAGCTGGGACTACAGGTGCCTGCCATAATGCCTGGATATTTTTTGGTTGCAGTTGTCATTGTTTAGCTGGCTTGGGCCAGGTTTGAACACGCCAGCCTTGGTATATGTGGCTGATGCCATACCTACTGAGCTACAGGTGCCGCCCAGATTATGTCTTTTTAATTTTTGAGTTATAAGAGTTCTTTGTGTGTTCTGGATGTAAATTCATGGTTGAAATACAATTTGCAAATATTTTCTCCCATTTTGTGGATTTTTTTGCTTTTTTGATGGTGTCCTTTGAAGCACAAAAGTTTTTAATTTTGATAAAGTCTAACTTGCCTATTATTTTTCTTTTGTTGCTGGTGCTTTTTGGTGTCATCTCTAGGTGTCTATGGCCAAATCCAAGGTTACAAATATTTATACCTGTAGTTTCCTGTAAGTGTTAGAGAGTTTTAGGTCTTAAGAGGAGGTGTATGATCCTATTTGAGTTAATTTTTGTGCAAGGTGTGAGGAAAGAGCCAACCCCATTCTTTTGCATATGAATGTCCAGTTGTCTGCCACCATTTGTTGACAATTATACTTTACACCTAGTGTTTTAACAACATTTTAAAAAAATGTTTTTAAGTATATACTTAGTACGTTTTTTATCTTTCCTTTTAAGGAAAATTTCAAAAATGTTTCAAATTCCTGTGGAAAATCTTGACAACATCAGAAAGGTACGAAAAAAGGTGAAAGGCATTCTTGTGGATATTGGGCTTGACAGCTGCAAAGAGTTACTGAAGGTAAGAAGATATAAATTACCGGTGGAAAGAAGATGCTAGGGTTGGGGGTTATTGGGGTTGGCTTTATGGAGGTAAGATTTAAACTGGTCATTTTTGAAGAATGGATAAGATTCCAAAGAATGAAAATTGCTAATCTTTTCAGTGGCCATGTGAAAGCATCATTAGTACTTAATGTCTCTTGTACTTAAAGTGAGCCATTTAAGTTTTTAAGCTACTTTAAGGAGAGGATTTTTATAATCATTAGTTATTTTAAAAATTCATTTTTGATGTTTTAGGGGAATATGTTGAATTATTATTTTAGCAAAAGAAGGCTATAAGTTAATTTCCCAGTAGTTAGAATGAGCAACAAATGGGCATGTGTATATGAAATGATGGTTTCTTTTTTTTGTCCTGCTTCATGAATTTTATCTATATGCAGTCTTAGAAAAGCTAAAAAATGAAGGTCAGAGTAACACACTTTATTGACAGTTTTATTTTCTTAAACTTTATCCTTTCTTATAAATGGAGACTATATAGTTGTCCTATGTAAGTAGTTTAAAAAAATGTTAAATAAGAGTTACTGTATGTCCTATCCTTAAACTGATAATTTTATGCATGTTTATTTATAACTATAGAATCAGAGACAATATCTGCTTTGAATTTTTTAAAACTTGTATAGAATTTGGTTTCTTTAAAACTAGGTAGAGTTTTAAAGGCTCTACTCAGAGGCCTGGGAGGAGTTCAGTTTCTTAATTTTTAAATCTCAGACTTTCAGCCAGATTTTTATTTATAAAATTTTAATAATTTTTATAAAATTATTAGTCTTTAAGTATTTATTTTATTTATAAAATTCTTTTTTTTTTTTTTTTTTGAGACAGAGCCTCAAGCTGTCCCCCTGGGCAGAGT